CTCCTTGCCTTAATGAAGGAGTAATTATTTTATAGATAGTTAGATAGTGATACTTGTATGTAAAGCTAAAAGGAAACCAGGGAGTCAGGGGTACAGAATTCAGCACCAAGGTGATCTTCATTTCAAATTATATAGTTATTTCCTCTTTCTGCTGACCATTGTTCTATACAATGTATGCTTAAGAAAGTATTTTCAGATGGTAGCAGCTAAGGACTTCTACATGTTATAAACTATATTATACTTCATAAACAGGTAGGTTATTAAGGCCAGATGTTAAACAATAATATGTCTGTTTATGTTATATCAGTGAAAGAGCAACATGCCATAGCAGGGCTTGTTATTTACGGTCAGGGCCATATATGTGGTTACATTTTACCATGCAGTACATCCATGACACACACTTCAAGGGTTACATGCTCATTTAATAATGGGGGATAGGAATATAGGTGAAGTACGTATCTTATTCCTTGCTCCCACAGGCCTCCTGTCCACACACTTGGTCCCTCAAAAACCCTTTTCTCTCCTTGACTGGTCACCGGCACCATTATGTGTAAAGTATTGTGCTCATTTCAAAAAAAAAACAAGCATTTGACCCTTGCTGTGTGTGTGTGTGTGTGTGTGTGTGGTGGGGGGGTGTACTTAAAGGGAACATTTTTAGGCATAACCAGAGTTCAGCTTCAACCTATTCCAACACAGCACCCTTTGCCCTTAAAGGTAAACTCTGGCTTTTTCTGCCCTCTCCTCCTTCCCACATCTCCGACACCCACACTAGTGCTTTTCAAAAACCCTATGCAATACATCCAGTGACATCATGGTACCTTCCTCTTCTTCTGTATTGGCAGTGGTAAAAGGTATTTCCTGCTAGACTAAGCAGTGCTCACATGATGATGTGTGAGCAGTTTATGCACTTGCTGCGTATCTGCTCAGAAAAGGAAGCATGTGACATAAAGAACCAGATCATTTATCACAAGTTTTTACAAAGGGGCTACCGCCAGTCTCAAATAGAGCACTGGCTCTAGCACAACAGAAAATGTTGGATCCTGTCAGGATGGGTACCAATATCAGGGTTCCTTTTATACACATGTTCAATTACACATCCGTGATGAGCAACTTAAACATCCTCAAAACTGACAAACATCTTTCACCATTATTCAGAACAACACCTTTGCATGTTTATTGTCGGAATAAAAATCTCAGGGACCATTTGGTCCAAGACGACCCTAGTTCTAAATATGAGAAAATACCTGTTAAGATCTTACAGAAATGGACAGCTTCAAATGCCACAATTGCAATGTATGCAATGTGCTGATTACTGGTGATCAATTCTGACACCCCCATAAGGGTTACAGTTAGAAGATTAAGGGTTACTTACCGCAGCAGACCTTCTGTGGGTACAGTACTGAACTGAAGGTGAGTATTGCAGCAAAAACTGTTTTTTTATTTGTAAATGTGAAAAAAGTTTTCTTTTTATAATAAATGAGAATCTGGAGTTTCAGTTGTTATTTAAAGTGGACCTTCACTTTCTCTCCCTCTTCCTTCCTGGGGGCTACTTACATTTTTATTTATTTTGGCCCCGCCACTATTCTTGCCTAGGCGAATATAAGTCCCTTGTTCCTCAGCCCCTTGGGATATCTATATCACATGTCCCAGAAAGCTGCAGGAGTGGGGAAACAGAGCAGCCAGAGCAGACCCAAGGAAGGGTCATCAGGGCTGGCTTTTTAGACCTGGAAGAGAGAACCTGCTCCTGATGATTGATATCTGGCTCAATAAATGCACCCTAGTTGGCACCAGCTGACCCGGTTTTGCTCTTTTGAGGTTCTTAGGGGGGCCAATATGGACAGAGTGAGAAAATGTTATAATTGGTGTTATATGGCATATGTTGGTGTGCAATGCACTGCACTCAGTGAGAAGAAGGGAGTAGACAACAAAGTAACTCACTTTGTTGCCTATCCTATATATCAGGTTGGCTGTCTGGTATTAATTTTACAGACCTTTTTAATTTGACATACTTAATTATCATTAAAATATTAACCATGAAAGTATTATTAGCAGTACTGGTATTATCATTTTATTGTTGCTATATGGTTTGATAAAAGCTGAATTGGCCAACAAAGTAAAAATTCACTTCGGTTAGTTTGGGAAAGCAGTGAAAATTATTGAGCCCCCAATGATTAGCTGTTTTAGGAAATGTTACATAGATCTAAGCCCAATCAATTTTGTATAAGCCTTAGCATGTTCATGTCATTTCAATAGTTGTTTTCAATCTTTTTTAACCTGCAGTTTTCATGAAAATAATACTTGGTGATCCTGTCATCAAGGTTCTTGTTTATGCACTTCCTGTTACTTGTTCATACAAGTGCCAACACATATTGTGCAGTCATGGCCAACCGTTGTCACTATCAGGAAAGATGTCCAGAATAATCATGTGCAGCTGATGCTGGAATGAGTGCATATAGACAGAAAGTGGGCGAAGGAGATAAGCAGTGTTGAGATGCAAAAAAATAGATATAACAGGTAAACATTACTTTATGAAACATACTGTAAAGGTTGCCCACTTAGGGTTAAGATCTACTTTAATATTCATCTCTGAGACTGATGAATTATTCTTAGCTGCTTGTGTTTTACAGCTGCCCTTGCCCCGGCAATGATTATTTTGCACTGTGCAGGAAAAGACCAAGCAGCCCTGAGTGTTCTGGCAGCCTTTGCGATGCATTTCATGTTAAACTTTAGGCTGGAAGTTCTTCCATGTTCTCTGCCCCCTCATTGAAGCCTCCCTCCCATTTGAAAACAAAAACATATTCATTTGCAATACCGTCTTCTTGCTGGTTCAAAAACATCACTGTTCCTTTCTCTTGTGTTTTGTTCAAGGGGGGTAGGTCCTCCTCCTGTACTGAGTTGCACTCATGTTGTGGCACACTTGTGAGCAGTGCTCAGTCTTGGAGTACTGCGAGACTGTTATCCCAACCTGTGTAATGATGCAACCTCAATTATGGCCACCCTGTGTTCTTTGTTGGGTGTTCCCCATAAGTTAAAGGTTAAAGGCATAGTTCTGATTATATAAATTCATTTACCTGAGTAATAATCATAGTAATTAGTTGTTTGTCAAAAAGCAATGGCTTTCCTTTTCAAAGTAGGATAGAAGTGATTTAAAGTGTATTCCCACTTTCCCAGCCAATTTGGGATAACACCTATTTTATGTGTTACATGTTCCCATTCATGTAGCATAATCTAAAAAACAAATTAAAATGCTTGTTTAAATTATATTCCTGGCTTCTGCATTTAAATGTTAATGACGTTAATGAGAGAAACACAATCCTCAAATTTCAGTCGTAAGTGTCAATTCACTGTGAAGGTGCTGAGAAAAACCTGGAATCAGCCATGTTGCAATTATCTTTTGGCATGATGGGTGTATGTTGAATAGGAACACATAACAAACATATAGAGGGGTTTTCTCAAATTTGACAGAGGAAATATGCTTTAAGTAAGCTGGCATTAGCAGAATCATTCTAACAAAGTTTTCCCCTTTGGGGAAACTTGCCATATTCACAGCACCACCCAGTGGTTAAAAGTGACAATAACAATGCAGCAAACAAAGGAGTTGCAGGAAATCAAGGTTTTATATGGGTCAGAGCTATACAGGAATGGGTTACAAAAGGGGTGAGAGAGGGTCTCAGTAACACTGTAAGAGTAACACTATAATCACATATACTGCAAATTGGTGTTATTTCACAAAAGGAGGGTTGTGACATTAAAACCGCAGTGAAATTGTATTTAAATTTGAATGTTTTTGTTTTTGAGAACTTTGATCCTACTTGTTTTTATTGTTAAAGAAGACCTTGTATTATTACCAATAAATAATGTTAGTGACACAAAATTCAGGAGTAACATTTTTAAAAATACATTCAAGTACCTTAACTATTAAAAAAATATTGTACCTAAACTGTGTATCACTCGGCTGTAGATCCTTAAATCATCTCTTAATTCATACTGACACTGTCCTTCCTTCTGGAGGGTGGCTACTTTTGTTCCTCATGGTCCCTGTGTGTGTTGTAAAGTAGCCATCGCTCCAAGCTCGCTCCTACAATCTCATGTTTAGTTTACTAATTTGTATTGCGATTGTAGTCCATCACGGGAGTGAGCTTGGAGGAAGGACAGTGTTAGCATAAAATCAGAGATGATTTGAGGATCTACAGCTGAGTGATACACAAATAAGAAACATTTTTATTATTGGTTAAGGTACTTGAATGCATTTTTAAGATTGAACTCCAGAGTTTAGTGTCACTTTAAGAGTCTTGCTGGGATATACAGACAAACAGAAAATCAGTGAGGCTAGTTTCATTTTATTTTTTTGTAAACATATGTCATATTTTTTCCCCATTAAATACTTAATTAGGACATCACAACTTCCCACATCAAACCTTGATAAACTGGGTGTAAACCAGGTGAGATTTTTGTTACTGAAATTGAAAATAATAATGCAAAATTAAAAGCAATTATTTAGTCAATGTCTATAAACAGACACCCAGTTTCCCAAAAAATGAAGCAGCCATTGCAGGTTTCTTGAATGCATAACATGTTAAAAAAAAATTTGAAGCTAGCACATGGCACATGAAATCACAATCTCTGTGAAATTGCACTAGAAGTTTACACATAACAATATAGAATGTAGGAGAGGAAGAGAAATGGAAAATGTGGGTATAGCACTGTAATCTTTGTATGCATTCGACTATAGCAGTTATATATATATAAAAATGAACTGCGGCAATAAACAAACTGACAGCTACAAGGCACTAGAATGTACACTATAGCATTTGCAGCCGGAAACGATAACTAGTCTAAACAAATAAAAAGTTGATTACTTGAGCCACTAACAGATACTTAGAATTAGGCAAGTTCTGAGTCATAACAGCATGTAATAAAAATGACTTTTCATACTTCTCCTGTTATGTGTATAGAATACGCTTGCTCACTGCTAAATCATCTTAACTCTTGTCTTTCAGAGACCTTTTCCCAAAATCGAAGACCATTACCACCAGATTGGGAAGAACTCATTGAACAGTTAGTAGGTATCCATGTAAACAAAAGTGAATCCAGACTACTTGGCAATATCAAAAGGCGTGTGAAGAGGAAATAGCTTCAGAGCAACGTGAAAACCAAAATGACATTTTTTTTTCCATATCATTAAATCAATGAACCCTGAGCAAATAAAGAATAGTTTGTCACGCATTCATTTTCAGGTTTTACTTGGAAATTCTAACATTGTTTGATACAAATGCCTTAAATAAATAAATAGTTATTACGGAAGAATTAACATATATATTTGATTTTGTGCATACCATCTTTATGCTAATGTGATATGGTGAATATGAAACAAAAATACAGAACAGGTTTGCAGCACCTTCAGATGGACACATACATTAAACGGGAAAAGTATGACTGCTTTTGTTGGATATGAAAACTTTTTCTATGCTAAATAGCTTTAGATAATCAGAAGTGCCATGTATATACTGTAATAATACAAATGATATGAAATTAAATTGTGCTGTCCTTGTACATTTTTTGATAGAAAAATATTTGTTATTACATTATACTGAATTGCTAACCACCCTAGTCTAGAAAATGGGACCTTACAGTATTGAATTTAGTAAAGAGCATTATAATTCAATAATGTAATAACCGACACTAATATTCATACATTTAAATTTATGTCAGCAACAAACTGTATATCTGGCAAAAACGCAAATAAAGCAGTAAGCAAACTAGCTGGAGTTAATCTTTAAAGGGAGAATTCATGCCCACTGAGGCTCACACCTACTCAAAGCCCATCTCCAAGCAAAATTAGAACACATCCCCTTCATTCCTCCTACCCATTCCCATTTAAAAAACAAAACAAAACAAAAACCTTTGCCAAGCCTCTGCCAATGTTCGACTCGAACATCAGCCCAACGCTAGTCTTCAAGAACCTGTGATAGATCTAATGGGAAGTGTCCATGTCACCACGTGGGCAGCCAAAGGAAAATCTTCACACTCTGAAGTCCAGAAGAGACAAGACTTGGGTCCCAATGTATCACATAAATGCAGACTTTGTAAAATCTGGGGCATGTGTAGTACCTGCAAGTATTCATAAGTGTGAAACAGATCAGTCTCTGCTGTAGATTCTTACCTTGTGACTAGCTTCACTGTTACATTGCTGTAATCTGATCAGTTGAGAAGAGACTTAGGAAATGTTTCCTTATGCCTGCAGCAGACTGATGCCATCATCTGCGCTAAGGCAAAGTAATATGACTGAAGCTTAATAACTGCTTTTGAATGATAAAAAGAATGGCTTTTTTTTACTTTGTTATGTTGTTGCTGTATATTGTGACATGTCAGGAATTTATTCACACAGACTGGTAAAATTAAAGATAACCTTAAGAGAAGTTACTGACTATAACTAGCCAAAGAGATTGTTTGTCAGAGTTGCAAATTATCTTTTGTACAAATAATGTTATGTATGCAAACATTTTACAGAACAACAAGTATTATCTTACAAATAGATTATCAACACAATGATGGTGCCACATAATATTGAATAATGCTTACAGGTACAGCAAAAGTGCAAGTCCTGTATGATGAAAACATAGATGTGAAAATATCCTTTGTCTAAAGTAAAATGACTGAAGAATTTCCGTTCCACAGACTGATTGTCCTGGTTATATTGTTCTATGAAAAATATTGTATTCTTTCGTAGACATACAAACATTTAGGGGTCTATTCACAAAGCTGCCGAAGGATCCAGCCATAGCTTCGGCTGATCCTTTTGCTAGCTTCGGTTGCGGGAGCCCTTTGGTTCAGTCGAACCGAAGGGCTGCTGTACAGGCTATTCACTATAGCCCGTGCAGCTGCCGAAGGTGGCCGAGCGGCCTAGCCAAGCCAAAGGCATATGCTTCAGCTCGGGTGAGCCGAAGTGACAGCCGAACGCCTCGCAAATGACAGCTGACATGCCTGAGATCACGCGATGACAGCTAAGATGCCTGAGATGCCGTGACATCACGGCCGGCTTTGCCAAGTTGTTATTCATTGGCCGGGACCTGCTAGAAGACTCTGGCAGGCCCCGGCCAATAGGAAACAGTTGGGCAGGGTAAGCTGTCACTGCTAGCTCCGCCCCAATAGTTTTTTTAATGTATTATTTATTTACATTTTTAAACATTTTTTTCTACTTTTTTTCCATTGATTTCCTATTCTGCTCGGTACCACGAAGGAGCCGAAGTGACAGCCGAAGGCCGGTCGTACGCCTCACAAATGACAGCTGGGTGGAGCCCAGTTGTAGTGACAGATCAGCTGTCATTAAACAATAACAACTTGGCAGAGCCGGCCGTGACGTCACAGACGGCTCTGTCCAGTTGTTATTCATTGGTTGGGACCTGCTAGAAGAATCTAGCAGGTGCCAGGCCAATAGGAAATAGTTGGGCGGAGCTAGCTGTCACTGCTAGCTCCACCCAATTGTTTTTTTCTTTTAAAAATAAATCTTGACTGATTTTTACATTTTTCTATTTATTCACATTTTAAAATTACTTTTTCAACTTTTTTAGCTATTTGCTATTTTGCTTTGTACTCCTTAGGTACCAAGCAGAATAGCCGACCCGAATGCCGCTCGGTGGCATTCAGCTATGCACTCACTGCCGTTCGACCCCTATGTGAATAGTCCCCTTATTCTACAGCAAAATCTTCAGCTTCCAAAACCTGCTTGCTGGAAAGGTAAAGAATTAAATGTCTTTTTTTTTTTTTTCAAGCAATACCTTATTTTCTAAAGCCTAATTCCATTCAACAGATTTGTATTAGTTTTGTATAGAGTTGGAAAGGGTTATGTTTTGGCTGTGTTCTAAATGCTATCAATGCCCCAATGATACTCCTCAGATTTTAAATGTTGTCTGTGACCCCATAGAGGTGATTTATCTTCCTGTTCTGCATGACACCTATAACCTAGACAGCAAGTCAGGGCAAAACTCCCTCATGTGAACACAAAAATAAATACCTTTCTCGCTCTGCCTGACAAAAACCAAATAGAAATTGGGAGACTTTTATTTTCTCTGACACCCATCAAATAGACAGAAAGTGAGAAGCAATGTTCTAAATTGTCTGTGAAGGTTCTCATTCATCCTGGTTATGGGTATATCTGTAAAAAAAATAAGTGAAGGCTACTAGAATTGCTGTATTTTTCTTGAAGACATTTCACTCGCCATCCAACCAGCTTTCTCAAGTCTATATTGAGAAAGCTGATTGAATGGCCAGTGAAACGTCTTCAAGAAAAATACAGCAAGTCCAGTTGCCTTGACTTATTTTTTTTTTACAAATGTTCTAAATTGGCACCCAGACAGCTATCTAAGTTGGGCTTGGCCCATGCATACTGTACATATTGCTACTTTTTACACACTTTCCCCAGGATGCTGGGGAATTCTGACTGTAAACTGTAGATGTTTGCTGATGGCACATTGTACAGCTGGTTTGATTAAATTTAAACACAAAATGGGAAACACAAGTCAAATAAATACCCCATTGAAACACGTGCATGTAACAAATATTTTACCAGTCAAAAAATGTGTAAAGTATTGACCATGTCATGCTGTGAAGCCAGCCTGAGCCAGCCTCTCTAATTCTGCAGCCTTTGTACTACCTCCATGCCTCCTTTCAGCTCTTTGGACTAGTATTGAACATCACTACACTGGTGTTGTCCACCCTAAACATTTGTCCTCCAAGCACCTCCCCCTGTCACTCCTTAGTTTACAGGAACAGACTACCATTGCAAACCTGATTTTAATGTTTAGATGGCAATTGGCAATGCAATATAAAGCAATTTCAGAAACACTAGATTAGTGATGTTGAAAAATTATAAAAATATTTTCAAAAGAACACATTAAGCTGAATGCTATTTAAAAACAAAAAAAACTTGGTCTACATTTGTTGTTATTTGTTAACAAAAAGTTGTAGATGGCTATAGATGAAAGAGAAACTTAAAGGGTTATTAAACCCTCCGGTTTCTTTGCATATATCTACTGCTTGCAAGCAAAAAAAAACAAAAAACGCTTTAAAAGCGGTTTTCACCGCACGCTCCCGCCCGAAAATCTGAAAATTCTCGGGTGGCCGCAAAGCATCTTGGGGCAGGCGCAAGCGCAGTTCAGATTTTCGGCCGGGAGACGAGGAGAGACACAAGGTAAGTATATGGACGGCGTGCACCCACATGCAGACACCGTGGGACAGGAAGTGCCAGCAAGGACAGAGGAGTCAGCGCTGGATCGGAGACCCGCAGCAGCGCTGGAGGGACAGATGAAAACGACAGGAAAGAAGAAGATCGGATTAAGAAACATAATTTAAGGTGAAATTTAACATAATTAAAGTGCTTTAATTAACATTGGGGGGAGGGAAACATATTTTTGACTTTAATGTCACTTTAAATTGTATCAACCTTAAATTACAATATGACTCATACAACATTTTACAAAATGAAAGTTACACTTTATTTGCTGTCATTCATTGCTAGACCTTTCTGTATCATTTTAATGTTGGCTCGATTACTTTGCTTATAAGGTCAGAATAGGACCTGCAAACCTGCCCTGCAGTATGTAGAAGCTCTTGTTTTATTTCAGGCAAATGTCCTAAAAGAGAAAAAAAACTCAGTTATTTACTGAAAATGATAAATAACTGTTTATATTTCTGATATATAAGATTATTAGATCAGACCATAAATTCAAAGCAGTAGATGTGTAAAGCTGGAAAACAAATTTTTGTTGCTGGTGCTGTGCTGGTTGTATATGTGGGGGAACTAAGTCACGGACCCTGAATCCCATCTTATATTAAGCAGACATAACAAATTCAGAAAATTAAAGATGTAATGTTATATAAAAACTATTTACAGTGTAAATAAAACACAGCCTGTGGCCCCTTTTAAGAACATTAAAGTGTAATGCAGTGGTCACATTTAACAGTGTCCCCAACATTGCTGGTCAGCAAAAAAAAAAAAGTGCAAAAATCAGTTCTATAACTGGTGTCAGTGGGTGTAAAAATAAACCATAGTTGCCACCATTTGAAAAGAATTAAGAGTATCACCTTGATGGGATTGAGACAAAAAAATGCACTGAGCTACATGGGCTGCCCACCTTGTGGGAGCTGAGAAAAAAAGTGGGGAGCATGTGGGTGTTTCACAGTGTATGGCATGTGGTATGCCACCTTTCCCCC